GTGCTCTTTAAACTGTCACCACAAGGCTGCGACTCTTTTTCAACTCTATTTCAATGTCCAACAATGTGTGTACAGTAGTACTCCAGAAAGGTTTTCATAAAGTTTAATATATTAACTATATCATTTTCTGTAGTTAGACTTTTTGGAAAGTTTGGTTCAAATGATCATCGGAAAGAGTTGATAAAAATTTTTTTGCTACTTTAAGTTACAAAATCTTAATAATTTTATTATTAAAACTCTTATTATACAATTATAAAGAAAAAATAAATATTTTATATATTATTAATCTATCTAAAATAATAAAATAATAAAAGTGATAAAAATAAAAAAAAATTTTTTTATTTTTTATATAATTAATTACTTAAAAAATAAAATCTTAATTTGATGATCAATTAATCAGAATTATAGCTCTATATTCATATGACATTGTAACTAAATTCTTAATCATAATACAATTAACAAAAGAAATAGAATATTAGTAAAATAATCAGAAATTAATTTAATTACCAATCATAAATATAAAAAAGACTTATCTATTATAATACTATTCCTATTGTTGTCTTGAAAATTAATAAGTCTGTTATTAAACTAAACTAACTTTTATGTTATTTACAGTAACTAAGTTAAAACAAGCATATTAAATATAACAAGTAGTTTTTTGTCTAGGTAAATACTGATCTCTTCTCTTGAGTCTTTTCTTCAACCTACTTTTTTTCTAATTCTTTACTTTCATTATTGTCTCAACTGAGATTTTATTACATTAAATCAGAGTTGAAACTTTTCTATTATTTGTTACAATTTACTAAACATGTGACTATGATGAGTGATCAATTATGGGTTTAGTTGTTTTTGAAGAGCAGGTAATGTTAATACTAGGATTTATTGATAGTTACTGGGTTTTTTATAAGACAACATTTTTACTTTTATTATAAGTTAGGTAGGTAGTTTATATTTTGCAATTCGAATCACTTGCCTTTTGCCTAGATGAATTGCCCTTTATTTTAATTACTTTTTTTATGTCAAATAGAATTTATTTAAATTTAAAATCTACTTAAATATATAGATTCTAATGTATTTATAGTATTTAAGTTAAACTAAAATTTTAATTAATTGCAATTATTATTTTTTGTCAATTACTACTGTATAGATAATGCATTTAAGTTCTTATTTAATGGCTATGCTATTATACTAATATATTGGTATAAAAACTTTTTAATATAAGTGAAAGTAGTAAAAAGGTTCTATTTAATGATGATTTCATTATACCAGCATAGTGTAAACATGTATATAGTTATAAAAATATATAATATAGTAAAAAATCCTGTTTAAAGACTTTTTACTCATCTGTTATATATTCTGATTAGATCATTACAAGTATTAATTCGAATCTATAAATCTGATTTAGAAAAAGAGTAAACTCTAACAAATTACTTTATAATGCACCATGTACCAAGTAGTCTGAACCGAAGATAAATGGTGCACCGTAAAAAATTATATGCATACCAGCAACCCTAACAGCTGGGCATCTTTACTTAATTACAACTATTTTCATAATTCCTAAAACACTTGATTTTTCAGTCAATCCGATTAAGTTATTGATTTTGCATGATCAGATACGTATGCATATAAATGCTTTATATATATATGTTGTGCGTAAAACTAGAATATGCATCAGTTTAAAACTGAGTTGCATAAAATTAAAATTTAATTTTGAGATGCATAAGATTCAAATTTCTAACTTGCATTAAACTAAAATCATAAATTACATATGAAGCAGAAAATAGCAAATTATATATGAAGTGGAAAATAGCAGATTATATATGAAGCAAATAATTAATTTAGTATACATATTTAAATTTGAGCTTTATTAGCACACTTATTTCCACTATGGCATTTGCTTCTATATTTAATATTAGCTTTTTTGCAACAACATTTATTGGTATTATAGCTACTTTTATATTTGCACATAGTACCTGTAAGTATTCCAGTATTTTGGCTTCATGCTGCTTTCCTAACAGATATATTATTTGTTGAGATGTTTTCTAACTTCAGAAATTCTTTTACGCCTAATGACTCCATTTCTCCTGCATAGTATAAATTATTCAATATACCATTTTGGCATCCAAGACGGTATTAAATGTATTATTATGATTTAGCTTATTTAAAATTTTGCATGAGAGGATGGGCTGATCTATGCCAAATCGATCAATTCTGGGAATAAGAATTTTTACATATTCTCCAATTTCATATTTCAATCTATGTTTTGATTTGGCAACCATTGCAAACATCATCTTTGTTGTATAAATCTCTAAATTCTGGCAAGCGAAGTTTCTTAAAATGTGATGCTCTGTTGGCGGCTGATTTGTTAAGTCTTGTAATACCTATACACAATTTAATTAATATAATTAATATGAAATAATAAATATATAATAGTAATATGTATAGTATATGTAGTTATCTTGTTTTATATATTTTGTTATATGTAGAATAAATAAATATGCATATTAATAAAATTAGTAATATAAACTTACTGTATCAGTATCTTGGTTTTTGTGATTATTATCATCAACTAAGTTGCGTTGCATTTCTATATTTGAATCTTGATTTAAACTTGAAGACTCAGTTGTCATTAAAGGTATAGAATTAGCATTATCGATTAAATCATCTAAATCATTAACTAATTCCTGAATATTTTCTAATCCAAATTCATTGGAAATTTCATTTTCAGAAAAAATGCTAGCCTCAAACAAATGATCAAATGTAGTGAAATTATCATATGGAGTTCCACCAAATACAAGCTCATAAGGTTTCTTATTATATGCTCTACATATCAAGTTATTCATTGCATAAATTACAAATCTCAATCCAAATAATCAATCTTGACACTTATTGTCTTCCATCCACTTTTCCAATTTTATCTCAAAAATTCCATTTGCTCGCTCAACTAGACCTTGACTAGCAGGATGTCTTGGTCTTCTATTAATAATCTGAATTGTGGGCCATAAATGAACTAATTCAACAATCACTATAGCAACAAACTCCTTCCCATTATCTGACTGAAGAATTAGAGGTGGTCCAAATGTAGTAAAAATTTCAAACAAAAAGGCTGCTACCTCTACTGCTCACTTGGAGGTAAGTGCATGAGCCCAGGAGTATCTTGTGAAATGATCATATAAATGGGCGATATACTTAAATTTATTATCACATTTAAATATTATATCAACTAAATCAATCTGTTTAAAATAAAAAATTATTATAATAATATAATAAATATTTAATTACAAAGCATTAATATTTATAAATTTACTTGTAAGTGTGACATGAATTTTTACTCAATAATTGGAATCCCAGCTAATGGTTGAATTCGAGTAAGTCTTACTACACAAACAGTACATTGAGATACAAATTTTTCTACTAAGTTTTGTCGGCAATATCCCCATTTACTACTGACTTAATTCCATGTTTTCTTTTGACCACTGTGCTGAGTAATTGTTTCATGTATCTTGCAAAGTTCATCATACATGCTTTCTACAGTTAATACAGGAAGCTCGATTTTAATCTTCTTATTATTTTTTTAATTTTGTATTCGAATGTGAAGTACAATATAAGAATTGGCAATGTTTTGTAATTTAAAATTTTTTTTGACCCAATAACGAAAAGCAGAGGTATATTGAGTAGTATTTATAGGGTCAAGAAGAACTGCTTTAATTTTTTGTAGTTTTTCTTGATTGATTAATGTCTTTTCTTTTTTATTCAGTGCCAAACTTTCAATGTACTCTTTGACCAAGTTATCAAAAGTTTGTTGTAACATAAATGAATATTCCATACTATTTGGTTTGATGTAAAATGCACTTATATTATTGCAAAGAATAGAAAAGATCTATTAATTAGTTCAAGCAAAAAAATTATTATTTTTTCATTTTATTTTATTTAATTTATTGTTAATTTTATTATTATTACTACATTTATTATGCGCATTTCAATCTTACGCATAAATCATAAACTAGTCTGACGCATCTCGGATTTAAATTTTGATCTTACGCAACTCAATTTTAAATTCACGCTCCTTCAAATTTGACGCATGACATATATATAGATTACATTATAATTTGATATATATGAGTGCTGTTAAGGAAAACCTGTCATCGGGCTTACAATTATATTTTGTGTCGGACTCAACCTATTTGATTTGCATCCGGTACAAGATAAAAATTGAAGGCCCAATGACAGATTTTTCCTTGACTGCACTCATATATGTTTTCGCACAAAAAAAAGCTTGTTGGGCAAATATTCAAATGAAAGTATAATAATATTTAAATAAGCGTTAGCCAAAACTTTCATAGCGCAGGCAAAACTTTTGTAATGCAGGTGTAATAATCATGTGCCAGTGCATTAATTACCTGTTAATGTAAAATTTACGTACGATTCATTCGGTCAATTTTTATCAGGTGATACAGGAATTATGAAAACTATTAAATAATTCCGACCCTGCCGATCACGATTCCGAGGTTTCTGACCCGGAAGTTTGGTACCCTATGTATGGGATAGGATAACTTTCTTCTGATTGGTCAATCACTTACAATTGTATTTATACAGCTTAAAGTACTTTTTAAGAATGTAACATTTTACAAGTAAAAAAAAATAATTAAACTCATCGCTATCTTCGAAGAAGTGCCAACAGTCACTATGCGAAATAATCTCGCATCTAGAGGTACCTTACCGAGTAGGTGAATTTTTACGTAGGTTGTGACTATAGATGGTGGTAGAATTCAAAAAAGAAAATTTTAACAATGAAAATGATTGGTAATCATTATTATAATTTCCTTTTTGAATTATACCACCATCTATAGTTGACTATAGAACTATATGTAATTACTAAATCGTTAAATACAGCTGAGTTATTTAAAGAAAACTAACAGTACAATCTTTTTTTTTAACAATAGATAAGCGATTTCCAAGCTATGTTAAAGAGGTTTAAAGCATAAAGAATGTTAATAAATAAGAATAAAGTTAATAATAAGAGTGGTTAAAACTTTATATACGTGTATATATATAGAGATTCATGAGTTTTATCATAACGAGCTTTGGGTATAATAAACGATAGATCCTCAAATATAGAGATGGCAACGGTCGGTTATTTTGACTAGCCGTTTTGTAGCCGTTAGCTGTATCTCGCGATCCAGTACTCTAAATTAGATAATATTAGTACCATTCGAATCGTCTCATAGAGACGATTTGAATGGTATTAAAATCATCCAATTTGGATCACTGGACACGAGATAACCGCGGCTTAGCCGAAAATGACCGACCGTCGCCATCTCTACTCAAATACTATATTAGTTCGGTATAAAAGGCGTAATATACATTTAAAAAATACATATATTGACCTGTTTTTTCTTTATTCTTTGTTAAAGTGAGAAGCGATAGAAACCAATTAAGTTTATGAATATGATGTAATTTAATTGGTTGATTGTCACATGCTTCACAATTAGCCAATAGTAACGTGCTATTCAATTTCATGAATGACCAATCACGAGAAAGTTATCCTATATATGTATGGGTTATTCTAAATATCTCCGAAATTACTGACAAGAATTAAATGACATGCAAACAAGTTACCAATATGTAGTTTTTGACAATAATTGTTGTTTCCAATTTAGTTGGGTTGATTAATTTTATGATTTTTCGAGTTCGTGAGTCCTGTAATTATAATATAGGTTGCCACTAGGGCTGAGTACATGCGCAGCATGCAATTTATAATTTAGGCCAGAGAGAGCGAAAAGAAATAAGGTTCGTAAAATGTTAAACTTCTGAAATATTTTGAAAAGAAAATGAAAAGTAGAGATGCGATCCGTTATCCTTTAACGGATATCCCGATATCCGGATTCTTTATAATAGTTTTGATCTAAAATTAACTAGCGGATATCCGGATCGTATTTCTAATGAAAAAAATGAACGAACAAAGAAGACGCCGAGATTTTCGAAGGTAAAAAACAAGATGCAGAATAATATAGTAGATTCATACCTAGTTGTCATTTCAACTTAGTCATATTTTGTGAGACTCATTTAATTAATTATTAACCAATATTTAACCAATACGTATAATAAATGGCTCAGTACTTACATTACGCCTGATGTTTAGATTTAGCATTGTGACTTTAATAGATTCGTTTAAATTTGGTCATGACCGTTTTTTCTATATTCTATATACGTTAGTTGTACAGGGAAGTTTCGTTTTATATGAATAAGTTAAAGCGTCGCACTAATGCTGTGAATCTTGTAAGAGTAGAAAACAAATAGCACTATATTTTAAAGGTGGGTGAAGCTGTTAAGTATTCCAGGTTAGAAATTATTATCAAAATGAAATGGTGTTGGAAATGATAACAAAAGTTATTTATTTATTAAAGGAACATTTCGGGGTTGGATATTGTTAGTAGAATAAAATTGGAGTTGAAAAGGATGAGTATAAGGCCATTTATTATCAAAATTTTGCGGAGATAGGTAATGCTAATGGAACACTTCGGATTGGATATTGTTGTCATCACAATAGAAAAAGGGAATGTAGTAGAAAACTAATATCTCTTTTACCTTGAATGTTTATTTCTTGTACTTAATAAGTGAGTCAATTCTAATGCTTTTACTATTGTTGTGCGGTAAATCGGCGAGTCTGTCGCTAATTCTTTCCAATTCTCGTGTAACCTACGGCGGCTTAGTCGAAATAGGTGTGTTAGATTTGGCTGGGTGGTTTATCCGTAGGTAAGTACTATTCTTCTCTTCTAAGTCCTTCCTTTAACCTATTCT